TGCTGAACCCCATTCATAAAAAAAAGAAGGACAAAGGGGAAAAAAATCCAACAAAGCAGAATGTCAACTAAACACTGCTCCCTCTACATTGCAGCGTACTCTCGATGATGTCTAAGACACTGCTTTACAGGTGTCACCTGGTTGGTTGTTAGCATTCACCTTTAAGCTACAAATGTGCTACCTTGGCTCTTCAAGACAGCTCCCAAATCCCCAGGGGAGCAGCAGGAACACAAAGCTCCCTAATGCATGGCTCCAGTCTCATGGAGCTGCCAGACCAACGGCAGAGGTGTCTGTGCTTCATGAACCAGTTCATCTACAGGGAGACCCCATTTACCACAGCCCCGTGGGCTGGTGGCTTCCATGGGTGCTGGGAGATGATAGCCTCAGGTCACGTGTCCACGGGCACTGGGACGTATCTTCAGGTCCTACCATGAAGAAGAAACCAGCCCATGCACTCTCACTGGGGGTTATTTCTACCCACTAAGAGGATAAGGGAAACCCAGCTTCTCCAAAGGGTTCATTTCTCAGCCTACATGGGCTTTTGGCAGTGCAGAAACTTCCCAGTGGTTCTGGGTTTGACCATGGCTCTGAGGAGCGTTAGATGATCTACTCCTCAACATGCCTGCCCAAAACCAAGACACTGTTCCCTGCAAACACAGCTGGGGATGGAGGGGAAAAGAAACAGTAAGTCAAGAAGCAGACACGGATTAGTGTTTGCTCATGTAAAATTTGTAGCAGGATCTGATGCACGCAAGTCCATTACTGGCCAGTCCCCGTAGCCCATGGTATCCATTTACACAGCGGCTGCGTGAGAGCTCTGTGTGTTGGGCAGTCACATTTTCCCAGGGTCTCGCCAGGGACCAGTAATGAAGACGCTGAGCGCTGCTGGCATGGAAAGATGAACCACACTGCAGCAGACCAGGCTCGACACATTTTATTGGCAATACTGGTGTCACACTCGGGAACCACAACCCTTTGTCAGCCTGTTAGTGTTAACTTGCATGACAAGTATCAGTGACCGACTAGATTTGAAATATAGTTAAAGTGCCTAGAAATAATAGGCATCTTAAAAAAACGGAAAGGAAACTCATTCCATCCACTCAAGCCAACCTTTATAGATCTTAAGCACAACTGATGCACTGTAATTGTTTTGTGGACTTTAATGTAACCTCTACAGCAGCACACAGACAATGCAGTTCTCTCATTATGCACATGCTTTAGGATCGTTTATTTTAATGCTTTCAAATAAATATGTTCCATGCAGCACACCGCAATAAATAAGGAGCAGCAACTTTCGTATAGTACATCCATTCATAATGTAAGTCACCATGTGAAACACCACATCTAAAGTCTTTGGCCCAGTCCCATACAGTGAAGCACACCACATCTGCACGTAATCATATCTGGCTTCATATGGATTTAATAGGACTCTGCCAGAAGGGCAATGTGAGCATAAGTTTAACCAGGGGTTCCTAGCTATTAAATACAGCTACTAAGTAGTTAAAAGGCAACAACTAAACCCATAAAGGGTTGATTTGTCTTTTCTTTCTTACTTTTCAGGCAGAAATATAAAGTATGAAAATGCTCTGGATATTTTCAGCCTCGTGTAAAGCGGCAGCGTGATTAATACGGAATGCTCTGAGCAACACTGGCACGTACACTGGCACTGAGAACCGCAGCAAGACTGGCTCTGACACCGAACGCCACGGCCTCGGCGGGGGAAGCTGCTATGCTGGCGGCGGCCGCTGCTCCTTCTCCCGCTCTAGGCCGACAGCTCCACCGCCCCTTCCTCTTCGCTGTCAGCTCGGTTGGCGCGGATCTCCACCAGTGTCCGAGCGAAGCGTGTCCACTCATCGTTGTGGGGAACAGCCAGCTGGGGAGAAACCACAGCGGGTTAGGAGACTGCCCAGTTGTCTCCCTGGGCCATAATCGAGGCACCACCTTTGGAGGAGTGCTCCTGTCGCAGTCAGTGTGGTGGTGCACGGTGAAGGACCAAGGCATGGGCCTCACTGACCCCCTGTGGGTTACATCTACAGCTGTAACATGTTCCCGAATTCCTAGGACAAATCTGGCAGCTTCCTAATTCAGTACTGGCTGGAAGGGGCTTTCACAGTCAGTGTCAGAGAAAAAAAAGTTTTCTCTATCTGCTTGATTTTAAGGCTAAGTTTGTTTTGCTGGAGTGTTGTTGCGCAATCTACCCCTTGGTTAAAATATTTGATTTTCCAAACTAAACGAGGCCTTGGTCTCTACAAGTATACACAAGCATGTTCAACGTCACACGTGTGAGCTGGCCACGTGAAGTCAGCCAGGCTGGGCCCAAGCGTAATTGTTTGCAGGACTGAGGTCAATGTACGCGAGGCAACAGAGCTTTTAAACCCTGCATTGAAACTAGTTACCAGAAGTTCATTACAGCTCTTCATAGTAAAATAAATATATTGTGTTCTTTTAGCCACCCTCCCCTCTGTTAAGGGACTCACAATTACAAGAACTGTATTGTAACAGAAATGTTATACCAACTGGATTCTGCATTACTGCTCTGGTTTTATATCCTCATGCAAGACCCATTTCCATTCGGTACCACTGATGTTTCTAATGGAAGACCTCTTTAACATGAGGCTTCAAGAGGGACCTGTAATCCAAATAGCTACACTTCCAGATAAAATGCTTTAGTGCATGGCAAAATCACGCTGCAGTCATTTCCAGCTGGATCCAACACTGCAATTTCTGGAAGATAATGCAAGCTGGGATTGAGATAATTTAAAAAAAAAAGGCAGGTCACGTTCTCAAACTTCGTTTTCATTGATTCAAATTGCAGAAAACAGCAACGAGCAGCCAGATGAACCATGCACATTTTTACTGCCCTCTTGAAGCCCTGTGATCATGTCCTGAATATAATGTGAAAGGATTCCTGTTTCAAGATATTATGCAGTGCTTGGTGCTCAAGAAGGCAACTTCTGGAAACTATGTGGCATACAATAAACCACTGTAGCAACAGATGCCTTTATGAGCCTGACTGTAGCTAATCCCGTTTGTGGCACCCAATATTCAACCTGCGATGACTTATTTCTGTTACAGCCCCCCCAAGCATGCCCTGCAGGTGGCTGGGTACCTACGTCCCTTTGGCACCAGCAGGTTATAGGCACACACGAGGCTGTATAGGTGCATGCCGTACTGGAATAAGGTCAGATTATTCTCCTCTCCTTAAACCCAACAGCAACACACATAACTGGAGACTGAGGCAGGTTTGGTAACAGCCACACACCTATACAAGCTACTGTACAGCAGGTGAAGGGACAGTGCAGAGACCACAGATGCAACCAAAACCAGCTGTGTAGCAACTTCCCTGTTACTATTGCTTGTGTCCCAGAAGATGTTATTTCTTGTGATGTGTACAGCACTATCATTTATGAAACTCTTAAATGAAAACATGAAACGAGTCTCACTTATTTCAAGTACTAAAATCATTAAAGTGGAACAACATCCTAGGCAAAGGACTTACTGAATTTAATAAAGCCTCATTTCTCCTTGTCTTTTAAAGTCCTAATTGTATTAAATGGCTGAAGAAAATATGTCATTCTAAAGAAAAAAATGAAATACGTTTATGACATTGAGATAATTTAATTTCCTTTACTCCACAGCATAGCCACAGACGAATAAAACCAAAGTCCAGACTATTAAAACAACTTGGTATCTCGAACTTGAAGGTTCTTCCCACAAAGAAATGCATTACTGTTGGCTGAGGGTCAGCAAGACCTGGGCTGTTTTTAATGACTCGGTTCACAAAACAGTCAGTGGTTGAAGTGAACACCTTTAGCACACAGAGGAAAACATCCAGTGCCCCCACACAGTCTAATTTAATTACTCAGAGCTTCATCTTTAGCTTCTTTAATCTCACGCACTGCATCATGCTCTCAACGAGGGACCAATCCTGCTAATAGTCTGTGAGTAGGATAACCTCTCTAATAGAAATTCCTCGGGGATGCAGAGGGAGACCTTGGCAGTAATGAAGTCAAAGTTAAAACTGACTTTTATTCCCCCTCCCACTTCTTTCTGTGAAGGCCCTGACACTGAACCACAATAGTTATACAGAAAAAGACCACAAATAAAAACTAAAGCGTACACAAACTCCATTTCAAATTCTTCTCTGAATTAATGCTCCCCTTCCAGTCATTTTCCACTCGAGTCCCCTCAGCTGGGCACACTGACACCCCCAAGTGTTGGAGGCCTGGGTCTATCATCTGTGGCATCTCCCTTTCAGCTTCTCTGCACATGTTTTTTCTGTAAATACCAGGGCAGGGGTGGGAGAAACAAGGAGATACTTCACAGAAAAAGGGCAGAGGCTTAGGGCTATTTGGGGGTTCCTCACCCAATTGGCTTTTTTACCATTTTTCTGTCCATTCCAGTTACCACAAAGCAGCACGTGTTGAGTCTCAGCAGTCGCGATGCTGATATGCAGGGTTGAAATGTTCCCCAAAGCATAGTAACTTAATGTGGTAATTTATATTAACACGTGGGTCAGAATATTATTTGAATGAACTGACAGTAAGGTACGGAGCAGAACAGGAAAACAAATCCTATTGAGTGTTCTCCTTTGATGCCCTCACAATGGAAGGGAAGCGCTACCCGCACCTCATTAATTGACTGAATTACTTACACTGCCTTAAATGCTATGGTACATTTAGGTTGCATCAGATAGCATTTCTAATGAGGAAAACCAGTATTACCAAAGCAAGGTGGCAACTTTAGCCAAACTTTGCCTGTTAGGCTCTTGGCAGAGGGGTACTTTTGCCTTCTGTCTGGCTTTTAAAATACCAAAAGTTTCGGGCTGCAAGCCTGCTGACCTGCAAGCGTGACTACAAGTTTACACATCCAAATAAACCTGCTCCTGCCTGTGGAGTTACATGTGCTCAGCTGGTTACAGCAGTGAGAGTCTGCTACAGGAAAACATCTTCTCAAGATGTTTGGGTGGTGACCCATATTTAAATTGGGTGAAGATATTTAACTCAGGACAATTGGGGTCTCTCATTTCTCAGAAAGGATCAAAGTTTTCTTTATATCACTATGAGCTTTTTAGATTTCCTCCCCCAACTCACTTTCACAAAATATTCTTCCAAAAGCACTCAATACCTATATCTGTAACTGCTTTCTACATGATCAATAACGTAGAATAACAAAAACATGTAACAGTTATTAAATACATTAACTACATACTAAACACATTTAAGATTTTATTATATAATCGAGCTCACAAACTGTTTTTCTTGCTGATATTAAAAATTTCAGCAAGTGCAGGGGTGACCTCCAGTCCAATCCATACAGCAGAGATCTGACAAACACAAACTGGATTTCCCATGTTTTATCAGAAATGGTGCTATTTGGGACTTCACCGAACAGCACTACTCTTAAAATTGCAACACAGAACTCAGGAAAAGGAGACGCTCGGGACCAGACAACTCTCAATGCTGCCATTGCTGCCAGACAGTGCTGGGCTTCTCAAGCAAGTGGAAGAGCAACAAAACCCCAGTGCCTAAAGACACAAATTAACCTAAATTTCTTTTCATTTTCAGACCATTTAACACCTTCTAGAAATATTTGCTCTTTTCAGTTATGTCTATTAAAAATAGAAAAATTAATGATTTTGAGACAAAAAAAACCAACACTGAATGTGCCTTTTAAAGGAATCTATCCAGAAGGTTGAAATAAGATAATATATTTCAATATTTTCATATATTCTCCTCCTATCCATCTTTTTTATGGCTTTGAGTGTTTCAGCTCAATTTGTCCAAATCTGGATAGCTTCAGTTTCCCTGAAAAAACACTTCCCAGCAAATGAATTATTCATTGAGGATATTTCACTTTATTCTTGGCTCCTTGCCTTCCTTGGAGCCTCTAAATCTTTGGGATGGGAGCGGACAGCTCTTCCTGCCTCCATCCCTCCATGCTCTCGTTGAGCACAGCTCTCCCCGGAGGGCTGGGGAGAAGATAAAACACAGCTGCAGTCTCAGCAGCAGCAGTGTCCACTTTGGAGGAGCCACTGTCCCATACGCTCAAAGGGAGCACAGTCACCTAATTTCAAACTATCTTGTTTCCTTTTAATGATTGTGCCTCATGGGTCTATCTACCCATCGCTGAGACTCTGGTTCGTAACCTGCAGTGCCCATTACTGGTGGAAGCATTGTGCAGTCTCACTCACCAGGTTCATAATTGCATTATTTTTTCATCTTCACCTGGAGTTCAGACGCCTCAAAGCAAAAACAGCCCTAGGAAGAACCCCCTCAGCGCCGCCTCTGACTGAGCGGTCACTCTGAAGGGGCAGGTTTTTCCAACCAGAAGGGTCTATAGTGGCTGCTAACACACACCCACACACACCCCATGGGCACAAGTGTAAAAGGAGAATCTGAAAATGAAGCGTTACCCATGGCTTGGAATGACCTGGCCAAGGCTGTGGTCTGCAGCCGGCCTATGTACCGCGTTGCCACACGCTGTTTCCAATTAGCTGTGAGCAGACGAGCAGGCACGGTGGTCGAAGATACACTCCAAAGGTGACAGCGGTTCCCATGTCAAAAATCTGTGACCCGTTCAACCACACTTTGCAGAAGTACAATGCCTTCTTATTTTTGTATATAGAAAACCTTGCTCTGAGCCAAGTCGATGGGTTTCTATAGGTAGTCATCATGCTTCCAGAAATCAGCAGCTTTCTGATTAACATGAGTTCATTGCAATTCGTTGCATTTGGGTTTGTTGATGTTTGAAGGCAAAGGCTGATCCTATTTTAGACAATGCTGTTTACTTGTTCCCGCTTCAATATAGCCATATTTGCAAAAAACCCCTCATATCCATCAGGGAAAATACGAACATTTATGTTCCTCTTAT